TATAGATATATAGATACTCAGTCATGATATATTTGCACTATATTCTCCAATATGCAAACCATGAGCAATGGGAATGGCATGCAAATTGGGTAGCAGACACACGTGCAGCTAATAGAGATCAATCCAGGCATGACTTTGGCCTTGGAGCTTGGTTGATAGAGCAATCAATTGATGGTACTAGTGAAGAATTTACGAACCCCTGAAATGACGACACATCCTCTGAATTAACATATCTCACAATCTCACAGTGACGTATTTCAGAATCTCTTTATAATAGATAGTACTCGTTTCTAGTCCCTTTTGGGATGTAATGAACATGAAGCCTTACCGGGACACACTGTTTGACTGACATTTGCCTGGTACAAGGCCTCAGGCCAAACAACTTAGACCAGCCCTTATGTAAGGCATAAGAAAGCACCCCTTTGCCTTGAAAACTGCTTTACTTCAGAGTGTAAGACTTAATGCAGCGTTGCTTAAGTTATATCCCAGCAGGACAGAAAATTGCTTATTGCTGGTCTGTGAAGGAGTTAAATATAGAAATTGAAACTCATACAGCAATTTCAGTGTATAAATCCATGTCTAAATGACAGAAATAGAAAAAAAGGGGGCATGTAATTTGCAAAGTTTATATTCTTTTTTAATAATTCATTTTTATTTTACTTTTAGAGGGGGTGGCTATCTTTCACCAAAGAAATCTAGAGAATTACTCTTTGGAGGGCAAAGAATCCAGTGTGAGCTAACAGAAATGAAGGTGGAAAGTCAAGGATTTACTCTATGTCTTAGGACAAGGGAACAAAAGTAGTCCCTGTGATTTGCACATTATTGATCTCAGCTCATGGAAGTCTCAATTGGATTTGAAATCTCATTAGAAAAATACATGTACATTTTACTCAAGAGTGGATGTTGGGACTGGGGACGTGGCTCAAGCGGTAGTGCGCTCGCCTGGTATGCGTGCGGCCCGGGTTCGATCCTCAGCACCACATACAAAGATGTTGTGTCCGCCAAAAACTAGAAAATAAATATTAAAAAATTCTCTCTCTCTTTCTCTCTAAAAAAAAAAAAGAAGAAAAAAAAGAGTGGATGTTCAATCCTCTAAGAAGCAGTGTCAGGGTAGGCTTTTGGCTAAGAATTCGTGATTTTGGAATTGTGGCCACAATTTCTCATCATGTCATCATACCCACTGATTACTTAACTTTCCATAGCCTCAGATTTCTTACCTGGAAAATATAGATAATGCTACATTCTATATAGAAATGTTTATTAGTTAAAGATAGGTAAAATAAATATGCTACTGAAACTTATAAAAGTGATTTTAAACTTATAAACTTATAAAAGTTTCACCAAATATTAGTTTTCTGTTGACCTCCCCAAGTTAACCCACCTATGCTGGTCATAACTATGTTCTTTTGAGGGATTCTTTGGTCATTGCTGCTTTTCTTCCTGTGATTTTCTTTCTTTCATTATCAAAAATCAAAGATTGGCAAACATATAATTCAAAGCCCATCTCAACCTGGCTTCCATCTCTACTACCTTAAATATTTCCAACCTGATCCTATTGATGTCATTGGACCTGACTGCCATTTTCCAGTTCTTTTTCTACTTGACCTCAAATTGCATTGAAGATAGTCAGCCTTAATATTTCCCTTGGTAAAATTAGCATTGGGGACACTAATTCTTAATCTCCTGGGACATGTCCTTGACCTAAGCACTAAATGTCTCAAGGCTCAGTCCTGCTCTGGTAGGTGGTAGACTGTTCTACTATTGATCCCAATTCCTCATCCTTCTCCATCATGATGGCTTCCCCTTGACTTTGAGCTTGACTGCATCACTTGATTTGATTAATGGAATATCAGAGGACATGATGCAGAAAGGGGCTTTAAAACATCACTCCTCCACGGGAGTGATGAAATGAGAAAGAAATGTCCCAGGCAACCACTGGTCCAAGAAAAATGAAGAAATATAGAGCAAGCCTGTACCCCATTGGCAGTCTGAAGTCAAGCCCACCCAATCCCAGCAGAGCCCAGCACAATTGCAACCCATCTATCAAACTCTATGTGAAAAAAAATAAACGTCTTTACATGTAAGCCTCTGTGACTTTGAGATTGTGTATTTTACAGCAAACACTAACCAATGCTCCACGTACGCTACACTATCAAAGCAATCTTTATTCTGAGCACAGATCCATATCCCACTGTACAGACTGTTTCACTTATTTATTGGAAAATGTCAAAAAAAAAAAACAAACTCAATTTGGAGCCAGGAACATGGTTCTTTGCCTCTGTCTTCTTTCAATAAAAAGCTATACTATGCACCTAAATCTAAACCTAAGTCTTGTAAAATTCTTTTATCCTCCTCCCTCCAATATCCAATCCATTAACATTCAACTTTACCTTCTGAATGTTTCTCAAATGCATCCAATTCTCTCACCAACACCACACTAGCTCCAGATCCTTTTCTCATGTGGACTGTTCTTACTGAATCCCCTTCCAAGTTCTCTAACTGTATTTCTTGAATTCACTTTTGTTTCCTCCTGACCCATTTAATATACTGCAGCAAAGCAAATTTAAAAAGACAAAAAGGATCATGTAACTCTCCACTGGCCCTACCACTGAAACACCTCTATCAATGGCTTCCAAGGCTCTTAGGTTTGCTTACGATAGCCTACCAGGCATAGTTATCTTTCCCCTGTCTCCATGCTCAGCTCCTACCACATCTCCTACACCCTCTGTTCTAAGAAAACCAGTCTTCTTTGAACACAATAAGCTCCCCTTCTTACAATAGAGAATTTCCCTGCCTGGCCATTTTCTCCCAAGCCAACTTAGTACACTCCTGTGGCTAAAAAAAAAAAAAAAAAAAAAAGACAAATATTTTAAACTGAGATAGATATGGAAAATCCTAAACAAAGGATTACTAAGACAATAGCTCAAATGATACAGAGATGTATTACGAACACCACAGGCTTAGATAAAACAGTAAACTACCTCCCCTTAATTTGCTTCTTCCTGCTAATTTATCTTTATTCAGAAAAACAAATTAATTTTCCTGACAATCTTCTGTTTATTGTAAAGAGACAGTGTTTCCCAGGAAAAACAACTAGAAATTATTTTACCATAGCACAAAACTCAGTGATCTCTGCATTGTTCTGCAGTAAAGAGCCAAGTTACCAGACCACCCTGGATCCCAAATCCCATGTCTAAAATGAGAATATGCAATTCCCCTCCCTTTACTGCTGATTAAATGAGACATGTGCTTTTGAATACACCCAACAACTTCTCTCCCTGTGTTAGTCAGTTAATATGTTATTTCTTGTGTTAATTATATAGATCTTCAGGATATTCTAGTAAGCTTATCAAGGTGAGCAGTCCTTACCCATACTGGAGGTATTTCAGACATGAGAATTTTTCAGATTTTAGAATAACTGCATATTCCTGAGATATCTAAGGGCCAGGAACTAATCTAAAAATAAAATTCATTTAGGTTTCACAAACATCTTATACTCATAGCCTGAAGATAACATACAATGTGTGTAATGAGCTTGTATTCTATGACCTGCCACACGAGGTTAGGTTTGTAAGTTTCAATTGATGGCACATCATTTCTGTAATCTAAAATTTCAGATTTTAGAGCATTTTGGATTTCTGAATTTTTAGAGATTCTCAACCTATATTAGATTTTCTGCATCATAGGAAACTTTACAAAAACTCTCTGAAAGGAAAATTTAAAAAAAGACTCAAATCAGTTTCCCATACATTCTTGGCTGATAAAGTCCCAGATGTGTGTTAGTCAGGTGTTTTTTGTTTTGTCACTAACCAAAATACCTGACAAAAACGAATTAGAGGAGCAAAAGTTCATTTTGTTTCAGAGGTTTATTTTGCTCAGTTTCAGAGGTTCAGTTGAAGGCTGGCTGACTCTGTTGCTCTGGGCATAGGGTGAGGCAGAACATCATGGCAGAAGGTATGACAGAGGAAAGCTGCTCAATTCATGGCAGCTGGGGAGCAAAGAGAGAGGATAGGCAAGAAGCCAGGGACAAGATCAAATCCCCAAGGGCACTCCTCCAATAAACTACTTCCTCCAGCCCTGCCCCACCTGCCTACAGTTACCACCTGTAACTGTCCATTCAAATTATTAATTCATCAAATGAACTAAGACACTTATGAGGTTACAGCTCTCATCATTGCCTAAAAGCCCCACCTCTGAACCTTCCTGTGTTGGGGATTTTGTTTTAAAAGCATGAGCTTTTCCGGGGAAATTTCTAGATCCAAACTATAACACAGTCTGTTCTGCTTCTCTGACATTTTAACTCCTGAGATCCACACTTCTCTGGTTAACTTATCCACTTCTCCCTTGGCACATTCTGGCCTCATTAGACTGCTGTTCTCACTAGAGAGTAAACACAGGCATGGTGATCAGCAAGATAGATGGGAGTGCATAAGGACATGTAAGAAAGAAAAATGCCTACCGTTCAGTTTCAAATGTTACAAAGCATTTATAAAACCATGATTATCAAGTTCAATGTTGACTTTTCTAGTTCTTTGACAATGTCTTTCCTAAGACATCTGATGGACTCACACATGCTCCACATGATATTGCTTCCCAGAGCCAGTTTGTCAATATTTCCAATAGCTTAGGTGTTCTTTCCCACAAATTCTTAAAACAAAAAACATCACACATATGTGGCACTTGCTGCTGTTGAATTGACTGCAGGGAGCTGGTATTTTGAAAAAAAATAATAAGTAGTTTTGCTCCTTGACAGAAAGGCTAGGATCTGTGCTGTTTATGTGCATGAGTGCTATATGAAGGAAGGAAGACATCTCAGAATGCTGTGTCAGGGTAAAACACAATTCTGTATTTCCCTAAGTACAGCACAGCTCTAAGCATCATTGTAGTTAGGTACTATTCTTCAAAATGTATTCTTTGGAAATACTGGCTTACGATTAAAAAAAAAAAAAGTGTGACCACTTGTTAAAGCTAGGCTTAAATGATTTATTTAAATCACCAACCTGCAGATATTGTTGACCGAGTCTTCTGGACAATGGTGGTGGCATTTACAACGCAAGACCTTTGGACGAGGGGTGGGGGCTGTGCTCTCCCCATCCTCTTTCTTGGTGCCCACATTTAATTTTCCTGAACTTCGCAAAAGCATGTTATCATGGAAGTTTGCTGAAAGGAAGAAAGAGTGAGAGTTAAAGCAAATGCAGGGTAGCCTGCCACAATCTTCTCTCCAAAGAATAATGTGCGAGTAAATAAGAAAGGAAATACTCATGACTAAGGTTTAAACAGAAAAGAGAGGGTTTTCCACTTTATATTAAAAATACACCTTCTATGTATGTCTCATATTCTATATATGTCCCAAATAAATATCCAGAATCCTCCCAGGATACTGCTTTATGTATCAAATTATAATACTTGTATTTAACTGAGTACAAGTTGCTCGATGAATCCATGTTTAAGGATTACTCTTTATGTTGATGCAAGGGGTAAATATTATCAAATCCATTTTTCAGATGAGAAAAAATCAAGACTCACAAAGTTTCAATAAAGGATCTAGAATTTAAAATACAGATTGCTTGAAACCTAAAACTGTCTTTCTACCACATCACAAGGTTTCTGTATTTGACACACATTACGTATTTTTAAAAAAGAAATTTTCAGAAATATTTCCTTGAATAAAATCAGGTAGGAAAATAAAAACTTAGTAAATATCAAGATGTACTTTTAAAGATATATCTTCCCCATCAGCTTTTATACGTGAAGGTGCTGACATACTATTTAGTGATGTTCCTATTATCTTTGGTGGATGACAATATAGTAGATATGATTTTGTAGACAAAATTTTCTGGTTTTACAATCAACTAGAGTTGTTGACAACACTAGCTAGTTGTCCTTGGAAAACTTTATAAATAATCTTCCTGAACTTCATTTGCTTATCCTTTAAAATGAAGATAATTATAAACACCTACATTTGATGTCAAGGTTAGCAAACATATTTTACACAAAAGGGAGAATGCATTAATTGATGTGTGTTTCAGGAATTGTGTTAAGAGCTCTCATATACACCATATCCCTCCATAACTATCACCTTAACCAATGTTCAATTTATAATGTTTCTCATAACCCATCTAACTAGACTATAAATCAAATTTCAACAAAATATTATCTAAACCAAATACTGTGGGGCTCTGTTTTTTAACTGAAGTTATGTGTAAGGAGTGCCATAATATGCAATAGCTACAGAGTGATTTTTTTTGAATCACGAATTAATTTCACCAGTTACATCACAGAATAAGAAATTTAGGGGAAAATAATCTAGGATGATTTCCTCAATTTCTAAGCTAATTAGTCAAATTCTTAGAGACTAGCAGTTGAAGTAAAAATTAATAAAATGACATTTATTAGAATCTCCTTCTAGCATTATTAACTCTGATATTTCATTACGTTTTTCAAACTTCCATTATGTGTACCTAACAAACATTTCTTTGCCAACTTGGTCTAGTAAAGGATGTTGACCAGTGTACATGTAAGGTATTTTAAAGGTTTATAGACACTAGTATTGCTGTATGTATGAACGTGGCTATATAACCAATGTGATTCTGCAACCTGTACACTTGGAAAAATGAGAAATTATACCCCATTTGATTCAAATGTATGATGTGTCAAGATCAACTAATAATTAGTTGTCATGAGCAACTAATAATAATAATAAAAAAAGAATCCTTCCCTGTCCACAGTGCTTATGATTCTGGAAATCTCAGGTGAGTCAAGGAAAGAGCATATTCAATAAGATCCATCTGAGTTTGAGATAGCTGATGTGCAGACTCCATTTTGGGAAACCCTAGGCTAGCTTAAGCAAAGACTATTTGTTAAATCCAATCACACATTAATCTCAATAGGTGTATATTATTTCTGTACAATAGAAAAAGAAAAGTTAAACACAGTTCCTGTTAGTACTTCATTTTGTACGCCATTTGTTACAAGTTTGTTCAGGAGGAATGTTAGCAAGCTTGTGATCCAATGGTGTGTGGGTATGTCACTATATTACCCTGTCCCAAGGCTCCTTTCTTTTAAATCTGGTTCTCAACCTTACTAACTTGAAGACCTGAATTGCCTGAAGGGATAAAGTGATGAAAACAGGGTATTTAACTGCATTCTACTTCCCTCCATACCAGGCTGTCTTTGAAGTTTAAAAATAAAATAGTAAAAATTTATTTATTATGCAAATATCTACTTAAGGAACATGTATTGGGTGCCTACCACTTCCCCAGACACAACCTGAGTTACTGTGATGAATACAGCATCCACCGAATTTCCCATCTTCTGGGAAAAGTCGTTAAATGAAATGTGTGACACTGAATGGTCTAAAGTAGAAAAGGAAACCTCTTCATCTGATTGGAAATAAGACACCATTTTGGGAGAAACAGTTTAAGAGAAGATTGACAATTTTCTAACATCATCAATCTATTTAAAGAGTGGTATAAAATTTAGCTAGAAGATTCCTTGCAGTATTGCTTATCACAATCCATGCTTACCACAGTAAGGGATTAGTTACATCTCTGAAATGAGATGGCTTTATAGCCATTAAAATGTTGAAACAGAATTAAGTATACTCATTGACAAGAAAAAATGGTAGAATATAATGTTTAGTGAAAAGAGTGAATTATGGAGTAGTCTAGTTATGGAATCCTCCTACAATAAGAGGAAAATGGGCTAGACAGAAACCTACAAAAATCAGAGATCAAGAAGGAGGAGACACCAGAAATAAAAGCTGGGGGAGCAGAAGGACAAACAATGGCTGATTCAACAAAGCCAAGAAAACAGATTCCTTCAACAAAGGTGGGGAGAAGCTGAGAAGCAGCATAAGTTTACCAGACAACTCCCCAAAGAATCTAGAAGTGGCAATGTGAGAAAAGAAGGTGAAGGAGATAATGAAAACAGGAGGCTAAAAATCTATTTTTCTACATAGAGCTTGGATACCCCTCCCTACTCCCTACAGGCTAGTAATTTGTCTTCCTCACCCCTGCAGAGGACTGGAAGGGTAACATGTATGTCACATCATTGAGACAGCTTCCTTATTTTCCTTTTCCACCATGCAGGTCACGGACTATGGGAAGCCAAGCACAGAGAAGGGCAGGCGCACCACCTTACTGCAGGCTCCTGGGTTACATGCATGCACCGGACACTACTGCCTCCCATCCTCCTCCCCACCATGGCTTCCAGAACTCAGTGCATGTGGCTTATGCCTTCTTCCCTAGGGAACTGGGCCAGGGACAAACAAAAAGCTGAAGATAGAGAAACTGAGGGTTTCTCAGTGAATCTGTGTAATCCTACAGGGAGGCATTCTAGTGACAAGCACAAGAGCTTCCAGGAAACTCTTCTAGTAACATATATGTACACATCTTCCAGTGCTCTGCTCTCCTATGCATGAGCCACTAATTCATAGTCACTTAAGTATCTCAAGAATGCCTCAAACATCAAAGACTGAAAATAAAACAAAAGCATAGAGAAACCCACTTCCACTTGGAAAAAAATAGATCAGTGAAAGAAAGAAAATAAAAACTTTAGAAAAACTAAGTTTTGTATCTGCCAGGCATAGTGGCCTATAATCTCAGCGTCTCGGGAGACTGAGGCAGAAGGATCTCAAGTTCAAAGCTGGCCTCAGCAACAGTGAGGTGCTAAGCAACTCAGCAAAACCCTGTCTCTAAATAAAATACAAAATAGGGATAGGGATGTGGCTCAGTGGTTGAGTGCCCCTGAGTTCAATCCTCAGCAGCTCCCACCCCCCCAAAAAATATTGTATAAATCAAGAGCTCAGATGAGTGAAAAAATAAATGGTAAGAAATATCTAATAGAGCAAAACATATAGGAAAAGGTTTAAGTAACTTAGAGCATCAATTCAGGAAATTCAGCCTATAAATAATATTAACTCTCTTGAGACTTGAGCAAACAGAGAAGACTTGTATATGTATCATAAGTCATGCAAAGTCCCATAAATGAAAACTATGAATTTCTAATTTGAAAAGACCCATGAAGCTCAAGAATAGACACATCAAATGTGCCATTGTAAACTTCCCTAACATTGGAGACAAAAGAAAACCCTAAGTTCTTACAGAGACAGAAGCAAGGGAAAAAAAGAGAGAAAGACAAAGGATAAGTATGGCAAGCTGGATGTGGTGGGACACACCTATAATCCTAGCTACTTGGGACACTAAGACAAGAGGATCTGCAAGTTTGAAATCAGTCTCAGCAACTCAGTGGGACCCTGTCTGAAAATTAAAAACTAAAAATGGATGAGAAAATAGCTCAGAGGTAGAGCACCCTTGGGTTCCATCTTCATTACCATAAAAAAATAATTAAGCATGGCACTGAACTTCCCACAGTAAAACCAAAAACTAGAATAAAATGACACATACATGAGACATCATTTAAGTCTGATGAAGGAGATGCTCCATCAAAATAAGAACATAAATTTTTAAAAAGAAGAATTAATGAATTAATAGGTTCCTGCTAATGACAGATCCAACCCAAGAGGAAGATGAAGCATACCCCCCAAAATAATGGTACACATGCATAATAAGACAAGACCCAAAGCCTCATTGAGAACTGGTCAAAAGACTCTGGAAGGGCAATCTGCACATTGTTGAAATTAATAGAATCAACTTTGCATTTTAAATCCAAATTGAGTGTTCAGAAATTAATTTTTGATGGAAACATAGGACACCAAAGAAATAAATATTTTACCCTACGTGGCAGAGAATAGAAATATATATATACATACAGTGAGTATGATTTTTAAAAAGAACTAAACCCTCATCTTTATTGTGAAAGTCAAAGGTTAAGCCTAAAATTAAATAGCTAAAAGGCAGCAGTACACATCTTAATTCAGAGATAATAGGGAAAAATACAAAAAAGACAAAATGAGAAAAGTCATAGATGAAGTTGCTACTAGAGAGGGAGAGATTGGGATGATTTTTTAAAAATAATAAGTCTGTTTAAATTATGTTAAAACAAGCAAAACAGATTTTGAAATAACATATCTAATATAGGCTCACTGAAGCCTGTATTAGAGGGGGGAGGATTCATGTCATTATACAGATAATCACAAAGTACACAAAGGTCCTACTTCTTACAGAAAAATCAGCTCTGTGATCATTTTACATCATGAA